GGGTGGGGGGACAGGGAGGGTTTTTGGGGGGGTGCAAACACGGGGGGGTGCAGGACAGCAAGGGTCTATGCATGTGCAGGGTGCACATTGCCAAGTGCAGGGGGGACATGCATGCACGCGGGGGGCGATGCATGCATGGGGGTAACGCGTGCACGTGTGTCGTGCATGCACACTGGAGACGTTGGTGCTGCATGCATGGGGTGCATGCACAGGTGCATGCATGCATCGCGTGTGTGTGCACAGGTGCAAGCCTGCACGGCGTGCGCGCGCGCTGGTGCGTGCATGCACGGTGCAGCAGTGCGTGCGTGCAGCAGCCCGGTGCGTACGTGCAGGGATGCACCCAAGGTCAATGCACCCGCACCGGGTGCAGTGCAGGCGTGCAAGGGTGCATGCACGGAGCACGCGGCAGGTGCCCCCGCGTGCATGCCCTGCACGGCCCCTGCAGCTGTGCCGCTGCGGATGACTCAGCAGGGTCCCGCTGCCGCGGCTGGCACGGGCAGCTTGCACTTGCACAGCGGAGGTTGTGCGGGGTTTGCGCAGGGCCTGCATGGGGGTTGCGCGGGGATTGCACGCGACTTGCACCCGAATTGCATGGAACCGCGTTTGGCTTGCGTGGGGGTTGCAAAAAAGGCTTGCATAGCGTTGCACTGGGGCTTGCGTTGGGATTGCAGAGCGATTGCAATGGGGGTTACAAAGCAGTTGCACTGGGTTTGCTTGGCGGCAGCACTGGGTTTGCATGGGGTTGTGCAGGGCTTGCATGGGGATTGCAAAACAGTTGCACTGGGTTTGCATTGGGGGTTGCATTGGGCTTGCATGGGGGTTGCAAAGCAGTTGCAGGGGGGTTTTATGGCAGTTGCACTGGGCTTGTATGGGGATTACAGAGTAGTTGCACGTGCTTGCATGGGATTTGCATCGCGGTTGCACTGGGCCTGCACGGAGGTTACAAAGCAGTTGCAATGGGTTTGCGTGGGGGTTGCATGGGGGTTGCGGAGCGGTTGCACTGGGTATGCATGGTGGTTGCACTGGGTTTGCTTGGGGGTTGCATTGGGTTTGCATGGGGTTTGCAGAGCGGTTGCTCATGGCTTGCATGGGGTTTACACACCGGGTTGCACTGGGCTTGCAAAGCGGTTGCATGGGGCTTTCCCGTGGCTTGGAATGGGCTTGCACGAGGCCTCTTCAGTGTGACAAAAGGGTGGACACGCAGCAGTGGCATTGCAGCACCCTCCCCAATCTGGAAAAAAAAATGCAACAATGATTTTCTTAATTTGGCCATTTTTTTCCCCAAAAGCTGCGTGCAGTCATCCCTTTACTTGAGCAGCAGTAGGACAGGGCTGGTTGGAGTAGCAGCGCCCTTCCTAGCAGTGAGGTGACTTAGGATGAGGCTATTCCTGAGTTACTCCTGAGATACTCAGGATACTCTTAGGGTGCCTCAAGGACACTATCAGGATGCTCCTAAGATACTATCACAATAGCCCTAAGGCACTATGGTTGTGCACTCTTGGGAGTATGGATACTCCCAAGATGCCCTAAAATTACTATCCGGATACCCCTCAGAGACCACTGGGATGCTGCTAAGATGTTGTTGGGATACTCCATAAATGCTCTCAGGGTACTTCTAACAAACTCTTAAGATACCCCTAATAGGCTGCTCTCATGAGGTTCTTGTGATGCCCCCAAGATACTGTTGGGATACCCCCTAGATATTTTTTGGGTGCATTTAAGATACTCTTAACATGCCCTTATGATACTGTAAAACACCATCAGGATACTCCCCAAATACTCCCAAGACACTCCACAGATACTTTTTGGGATGTCCCTGAGATTTGCTTAATAGCCCCTCAGGATGCCTTTAAGATACTCTTGGTATGTTCGTAAGTTACACTCAAGTTACTCCCACAATACTCTTAACATACTCCATGGTTACTCCCATGATACTATCTGGATGCTCCTAAGGTACTATGGGGGTGCTTCTAAGATATTCTCAGGATGCTCAAAAGTTACTGTCAGGATACCCCTAGGGCACCATCAGGATGCTCCTAAGATACTGCTGGAATACTCTGTAAATACTCTCAGAGTGTCCCTAAGATACTCTTGGCTTACTCCCACAAAATTCCTGACCCTAAGGAAGTCCCTAAGATTATCCCTTAAGTAATTCCCTAAGGAATTACCCTAAGATGTTATTGGTGTACTCCTAAGACACTATTAGGATACTCTTCAGATAACTTTCCAGGTATTCTTAAGATACTCTTGGGATAAACCTATGATGCTATCAGAATATCCCTAGGATACTATAAGGTTACCCCAAGGATACTACCAGTGTGCTGGAGAGCATGATACTTTGCAGGTACTGCTGCTACAGCGCTGCAATTCTCTTAGCAGAACTAAGGAACTAAACTAGGACTTTGCTGATCCTCCTAAGATACTCCTGACCTCCTGGCACACCATGGAGATACTCCAAAGATACTTTCAGGATACTATAAAAAATAAGAGAGTTTTGTGATGCTCTTAGAGGAGTGCTGAGATCACTGGAGTATACCAGCAGCTCATTGCTGCTACTCTCAGACCTCTACTAGGAAAGTACCAGGTCATTGCTCGGTCACTACTAGGTTGCCACCAGGTCATGACTACGTTACCAGTAAGTCATTACCAGGTACGTCACTACTAGGTTGCTACCAAGTCATAACCAGGTAGGTCACTACTAGGTTGCCACCAAGTCACCACCAGGTAGGTCGCTATTAGGTTGCTGCGGGGCTACTACCAGGTCTCTACAAGATCACTACAGGTTCCTGGGGCTTAGGGAGCCCCAAGAGCCTCACGGGGACCCTCTCCCAGCAGCTAAGGCGGCGACGCGGGCAGCGGCGAGGATGGAGGCGCCCCTGGTGAGCCTGGAGGAGGAGTTCGAGGAGGGCCCTGGCGGGGACGGCGGTGGCGGGGGGCCCCCGCGGGGCCCGGCGGACCCGGCCCTGGCCGAGCTCGAGAGCTTCTCGGCCGAGATGATGAGCTTCAAGTCGATGGAGGACCTGGTGCAAGAGTTCGACGAGAAGCTCACCGTCTGCTTCCGCAACTACGACGCCGCCACCGAGGCGCTGGCGCCCGTGCGGGGCCGCCTGCAGGCCCAGGAGGAGGAGGAGCACCTCCAAGATGAGGAGTGAGTAAGGCCCCGGCTGCCGGCGAGGCACCCAGCCAGTCCCACCACCGTGGCCTGGTGGTGGGACAAGCTACGATGGGTGGTGGACTCTGGTTAGTAGTGGAGCAAACGCTTGTGTAGAGGTGGTGTCCTCAGTGGTGCTTTGAGTTACGGTGTAGTAAAGCTACAGGAGTGTAGCAAGCGGTGAGTAGAGGTGATGTGAACTATGAGTGGCGGTGGCATGAACCGCTGAGAACTAGTAAATGGAGTACAGCAGTGTGAGCTGTGAGTAGCAGCAGAGTAAACTGTGAGGAGCAGCGGAGTAAACTATGGGTGACTTTGCAGTGAACTGCGAGTCCCGTTGTAGTAAACTGTGTTGTGGTGGAGTGAACTAGGAGTTGCTATAGAGTGAACTATGAGTCCGGTTGTAGTGAACTATGAGTCCCAGTGGAGTGAGTGGAGTCACAGTGTAGTAATCTGTATGTAACACTCTAGTAAACTGAGTCCTGTTGGGGGAAATGAGTTGCTTTGGAGTAAAGTATGAGTGACCGTGTAGCAATCTTTGCCTCCTGTTGTAGTGAACCCTGAGTAGTGGTGAACTGTGTGACGGTGTAGCAAGTAGAAGTAGTATAAGTATAGTATTAGTGTAAGTAGCATAAATCCTGTTTCAGTAAACTGAGTCCCATTGTAGTGATCTACAAATTGTGGTGGAGTGAACTGTGAGTAAACTACAAGTCACGGTGTAGTAAACTCTGAATCCCATTTTAGGAAACTACAAGTTACATTGGAGTGAACCTCAAGTCCCGTTGGAATGAAT